CCATTCACAGCTAAGTTGAATGATGGCTGCTGTCACAGAACCGACCAATTTATAAGAGCACAAGTACAAAAACAATCGCCGAAACAATCAAATTCTCGAACTTGAGCCCATATAAACCCGGTAGTCAACTGAAATCTCGAAGGATTTCAAACCAACTTGCATACAACCAAGATCACAGTAATTCAACATAACATATCATACGTTACAACATTTCGCAGACGTTCACAAATAGATTACATCATCACAGAGTCATCATTATTACAAAACAAGTCTTGTAAAACATGCGGAAGCAAATAGTTTAACTCACACACTCGAGTTCAAATACACATACTGGTTCGCTGATCACAGCCCGCAAAAGCATTCAGATAAGAGAACAGAGATCATGCCCATGATCTAGTCTTCATCACCCGCCGGGTGGAGACAATACTTACAGAATCCCTGATATAGAAGGTCATCTGCAACAAGAGGGAATAAACCCTGAGTACGGGAATGTACTCAGCTAGACTTACCCAATAGAAACCAAAATAAATGACACCAAGGATTATGCATAGCTTAATGTATTGGATCTGGCTGGCACTTTCTTTTTGCAGAAAAGCATAAGTAATAATGATTAACTCTTAACCTGAACTAGCAGTGACTTTTTAGCCATTAACCTGTCAACTATATTAGCACCTGTACTAAGCAATCATTTTATTAGGTGCAAACATTAATAACCATATTAGGTATTCATTGTGGCAACCTTATCATCATCATCCATTTAACCATATCGTTAAATTAATTAAATCTATGTTGCATTGCCGCTCACCAAGTTCTCACTATCCGGAGAGACGGCGATTCAATCGATTCCTATCCAAATTGGAGGGGTATTCCTAAACACAAACCCCGGTTCTCCCCGTCGAGTCGCAAACAAGTCACCTTTGGTACGATTCAGAGTCATGAGTCCGATCGGATCGACATTCTCGAGAGAACCACTCGCCAAGGTTGTTCGGGACTCTAACCCGCCTTGGACTTATGCCAATGGCTCTCCGCACATCCTTACTACCTCGAGAATGCCGCCATCGCTTTCGCGCCCCCTACCTGAGTCGAGCTACTAGGCTTCATGGTCGGAACGACTTATCCGCCAGCTAAGTGTTAGGCTGCGTTCAACATGACATGAGGATGTACAACAGATCGGTCCTTAAACGACTCAGATGGAGTCACTATGTTCAAACGTACACAAGACTCTGCCCGGTCTTAATTCATTAATCACATGGTTCTTTTCCACGATAGCAAATATAGCCAACCGTGATCCACCTCATCCTAAAGCTCGCAGTGGTGTGAAATCACCGACTTCTACCGCACTAAGCATGGCTAAGCATTTAACCCGTTCCTGAACTTAAATAGGATTCCCGTGCGATATCTGGACAAGGAAAGATATATAATGCAGCAATTGGTTCCAACCAATTCCTATACTTAATGCATCATCAACAATAAAAGGTACTCAAAGTATTTGTAAAAACATGGGAGGCTTAATATGCTCCGGGGCTTGCCTTTCAGGAACGAGGAAGGCTGGTGGTCAGGGCACTCGGGCAAATCCTCCACGGCGACTGCTTCGTCGGCTTCCTGCACCTCAGGTTCCTCCTCCTGGTTGGCTCCCTCGAACTCCAGCAACGTCACTCCCTCCGGCACACCTATTGCATGAATGCGCAAGATAAATATCATGGATGCACATGAACGAATGTCAGGGATGCTCGGGGAATGCACATGTTCGCTGTAGTTTGCATATTCCAACTTAAGCCCTATTCAAATCACTTTACTTACCAAGTTTATACAACCTAATGTATAATTGCTCATCTTCAGTTAATGACCTAGCACCTACACCTAAGCATATTCTCAAGTTAGGCTAACCCCTAAACAATCAACGATTACATTGCAACAACATACACTCAAGCATTTGTATTTCAACAAAATGAAGACTATGTAGCGGTACAGTAAACTAGCCATAAATGGAGATTTATAATTCCAAATGACATGCAACAAGACAATTTGGAAAGCTTTTGAAATTGTCTACAATTAATTTTTAGACCTCAAAGCATGATTCGACACTTTACCAATTCGAATTCATGAATCAACAAAACCCTGTCCTCACAAGGCAGAGAGTAAGCAAAACTGGAACCTAACTTTAAATAGCTATAGTTTCTAAACTACTGGGCCAAATGCCCTCAAATTTTGACAGGAGCTAGATACATAAATTATCTACAACTTTTGTATTCATCACAATCACAGAAAACCAAATTATCATGGGGAACTTTCCAAGGTTCCCAGATCTGTCCAGAGGGACATGATGCAAACAAATAATTGTTAACTTATGATATAAATGCTTAATTGGACAAAACCAAGTTTACTGACATATCACACATATCACAAGAACACCAGAAAGTAGGGTGTCCATCACCAAAACATTTCTTTTAATACCTTTCTTAATTTATTTAATTAATTAGTGGAAATAGTAAACATATATGAAAACTGCCCCATTAATTCTACAAAAATTACAGTAGACACTACATGCTCTAAGTAGACTACCATAAAAATTTCACACCATTTGAGTAAGTATAACAACCTACACAAAAATGGTAAGGCAGAATGGCTTAAAATGGCATAATTAGGAAACCTTAGTGAAAAGTGTCAAGCAACAGATTTCATATTTTTCCTAGCATCCTTAAGGTACTAGGACACTCTCCAACAATTTTCATGGTCATTGGATTCATAGATAATTTACAAAAATTCACCCAAGTATCTACCAGCGATAAAAGGAAAATCTATAACTCAAAAAGTACACATGCAATGACTCTCAAATTTTAACCAGAGCTTCTACTATCCAAGAGTAGCTTACCCACAAAATTTCATAATTTTTGGATCACAGAAACTCAAGATATGATTTAAACAAGTTTGCATGCATTCAAAAACACTTTTCAAGTTCCTATTTAATTCATCCAAAATTTCTACATAATGTGCTCAAGATATATTTTTCTTAAATACTAGACCTAACTGTGAATCCAACAAAATGGGAACCACCCAATTTGGATCTACAAAACAGGAGATACAAAAATATCAAATCAGCATTCAAAACTGCATTTTTGAACTATCCTTCTAATACTCAGTCGCTGACAACTGGGGTCCACCGGTCAGCTAGGCCCGCGTGTCATAGACACAGAAACAGAGGAGGCGGCTTCGACGGCGCAGCGACGGAGGAACTCATCGACGGCGACTCCTCCGGCGACACCGAGGACACCTACGTGACCTACGTGATGCGGTGAGTCTATTGGTGCTAGAGGCGCGACCTACGACCTAGCGGAGGTGGCTCGCCACCGATGATGGCGGCACGGTAGAGCTCCGGTGTGAGCTGCCGGCGACGACAACCCATGGCCGGCTCAACCGAGCATGGTGTGAGCTACCTGAGGTCGCCACGGTGCTAACACGGCGAAGACACGGGGATGGGACGGTTCATAGCTACCCCGGCCACGGAGCTCGGTGGCTCGGCCATGGCGCACGGCGGCGCTCGGCCGTGTTCCGGCTCGGGCAGACCGGCATTGGCGGTAGCACCATCACCAGAGCATCTACGTGTGATGTAGAAGACTAGGCGAGAGCTAGGGAAGGAGGAGGGGAACGGTGTTGTGCTGGCCACGGTGAGGTCACCGGTGCGGCCATGGCGTGGCGGTGCGCGGAGTCGGCAATGCCGCTTACCTAGTGCTTGTCTGGTTCAGAGAGAGTGACGGCTAGGTTCGTGGGGTGCTCGCAGAGCTTTGGGCGGGACGGTGGTGGCTGTGGTGCCACGGCGAGCTCGAGCGAGCTCGGCGGAGCAACTGGCAACGGCGGTGGTTCGTTGCGGCCGCTGCGGAAGGCGAAGGCGAAGGCAGGAAGCAAGGAAATGAAATGTGGCGCTGGGAGGCTCATGGGCGCACGCTGCGGCTTGTGCTAGCGCGCTCTGGCCCGACATGGCCTGAGCAGGCAGGACGCCGGCGACGCGCGGCGCCACGCGGTGCTGAAAGCCTGAAGCCGATCGACCACTGTAGCGCCGATTCAGAATTCCAAAACTAGCCTGACAGTGAAACTTGTCGACAATAGATCTCTTAATCCGTGGCGATCCAGTTTAAGTTGTAATTAACAAAGTTGGAGACCTACGTGAGTACTACAAGTTTGCTAATTGGAGCTCGAGCTAATTTGCCATAGATTTCAATCTACATGGCTCCAAAGTCGTCTTCATGAAACTGGAATCCAGTAGAACACTTAGAAAAATTTTCAATTATTGAAACAGCTTTCAATCCTGACTTGTGGGCCATTTTTGAACATGTTGTGCACATTTTCATGAGATGGTCATAAAAGAACTTTTGTTCCACATATAATTCTCTACAACTTTGCTTTAGGTTGCTCAGACATGCAAACATCCTAAGCTACACTTTTTAAATAGTCAAACACAGGAGCTCTAGGGGTCCAATTTGGTCAACCATGACTTGGAAACCTAATTAGGCAAAATGATCAACATGAACATTGTTCCTAATGACATTCTAAGTATGACTAAGGTTCTTATAAGGATATTTAGCCACACCATACATTGGTCACACAAGAATCAAGCAAGGTATGTACTGAAACAATGAAAAACACATGAAATGTTACAATTGTTTCATAGTCATGTTTCACATGTTTCATGATCTTGTTGCATAGCACTAACTAACCATGTTTCACTAAACTGTGTTGTATATGTTGCACTTGAGTGTTGCACCCTATTCATTTCATAAACAAACATACATGATATATGACCATATGTTACAATGTTTCAAGAGCATGTTTCATGCAATATGAACTCATAAATGGATGAATGATGCTCATGTTTATGAAATGCAAGTGCAATTGTGGAAGCCAAACACCTAGGGTGTTACAGCTGCTCTATTGACGTGCCACGCAAATGTGATGAATGGGTTGTGGATTGTCGATATTATACTCTAGAGATGCTACGAAGTGATATGAAAGCTAGGGTGAACTGGGGAAGTGGGCAGCAGCATGTGATAAATGAATTTGATATGAGTGGTGGTGGAGAAAGGAAGTTCTTGGATGATACAGATCTATCACTTGCATTTGCTGAAAAGATGGATGATAAGAAGTTGTTCTTGTTTGTTGATGTTGAGGACAAACCCGTAGAAATGTTTTGTAATTCAGCAGTTATAGAGACAACAGTGAGTAATGTGGGCCATGATAATGCCACAGAACCTAGAGAATCGAGCAATCCTGCTGTGTTTCAAAACTTATTTCTCATGAAATTGATTGGGACAGTCTAGAGATAACTCCTCTTGCAGAAGACCAAATTGGTACTGCACTTCCTGTGATGGATGAGGAAACAATGTACGAGTTTGTTGGGCTTAGAGCAGATGATGAGAGCTAAACAAGCTAGGATGGTGGTTGAAAAGGAGAATGCAACTAATCTTGATGATGTGGGCCTACAAGGTGCAGAGTTGTTGGTTGATGATCATGTACCTAGTGAGGATTATGTTCTGTATGATAGAGAAAACCCTCTAATGAAAGTTGGAACCATATATGCTAGTATGAATGAGTTCAGGGTTGCAGTGCGACAGCATGCTATAAAGGAACAATTTCAACTTGCAATAGAGAATCTTGTAAAGATTTGTTCAGAGGGCACTACAAAGCTGAGGGTTGTCAATGGTCTATTGTAGCAAGGTTGATGCGAGATCAGCAACAAGTCAGGGTACTAACATTTTCACATGCAGCATGCTAACTTAATGTATTATGTACTCTTGTAAGTCATGCATGTATGTTATGATACTAACATTTTTGTTTCAATTTGATAGGTTACAGTGAATAAAGGAAACCATTTTTGTCCGTCTAATGCAAGAGTGAAAACCAAGATGCCAAACTACAAATAAGGAGGAAGGTGTATTTTTCCATAGATTCTTTTGTTGTTTGAAGCCAAGCATTGATGGTTTCCTAAATGTTTGTCGGCCATTTTTGAGTATTGACTCTACAGCTCTCAATGGTAGATGGAATGGACATCTACCTTCAGCTACAGCACTAGATAGGCACAACTGAATGTTTCTAGTTGCATTTGGATATTTTGATGGTGAGACTACTGATAATTGGACTTGGTTTATGCAGCAGCTGCAGAAGGCCATTAGGAATTCACCTCACCTAGCTATAAGTTCAGATGCTTGCAAGGGCCAAGAGAATGCAGTGAAGAAGGTATACGCTTGGGCAGAGCACAAAGAATGTTTTGTTGATGAAGAATTTTAGCAAGAGGTTTCAAGGGCCTGCATTTGGGAGAATGTATCCTGCAGCTAGGACTTTCCAAACAGAATACCATGAATACTTGATGCAGAAGATGTACGAAGTAAATAAGAAGGTTGAACCATGGTTGAAAGCCAATCACAAGTTGAAGTGGATAAGGAGCAAATTCTCAGAGGCAATAAAGTGTGATCATATCACAAATAATTTGGCAGAGGTTTGGAACAATTGGGTGAAAGACATTAAGGACCTTCCCATAGCTGACCTTGCTGACACTCTGAGGTCCAAATTCATGGAACCGTATGCAAGGAGAAGAATAGGTGAGAAATTTAAAAGACATGTAATGCTGGCAATTGTTGTTCGCCAACTATATGCAATGAGTTGGCAGTTGGGTCACTTGAACATAGCAGAAGGTGAAAGAGAGGAAATAGAGGTGATAGAGGCCACTGCTTCACACAAGATCATAAGGCATGTGGTTAATATTAAAAACCATGTATGCACCTGCAGGGAGTGGCAAGTCTCAGGTAAACCATGTCCACATGCTTTGGCACTCATCACCACATGTAGAAATCCTAAGATGGAAGAGTACCTGGATCCCTATTATTCAGTGTACGATTTTAGACTAGCCTATGGTGGTGTGATCAAACCACTTCTTGATAAGTCTTAATGGGTGAAAGTGGATCCTGGATTCAAAGTGCTACCACCACTCAGTAAGAGAGAGGTTGGAAGACAAAGGAAACACAGAAAACCTAGCTGCATTGAGAACAAGGGAAGCAAACCTAGAGGCAAAGGCGCGTGGCAGGTGAAGTGTCCAAATTGCTTGGGTCTTGGCCATAGGTCTACATCCCCAATGTGCCCTCTCAATGGAACAAAGAGGTAAATGCTTATGCCTTTTTTGAACTAACACATACTTGCTTCATATTTTGTACTCATCTCAATTTTACATTTAAAGAAAAAGTCGGGCTAAGAAAGGGAAGGCAGGTAGGCCTGCTGGTTGTACCAAAGATGATGCAGCTCCTAGTCCATCCAAAAAGTAGAAGGTTCATGTGCCAGAAAATTCAGTGAATAATAGTCCCGGTTCTGTTACAAGAAGGTAACTAAACCTTAACTTGGAATTTCAAACACTAGTCTTTTTTTAGACTAAATATTTACCTTATTTTGTAGCCAATTGTAATTAACAACGGTGGAATCTAGAGGGACAAATCAGCTCACTACAAGCCTCAGAGCAGTGACAAGAAAGTAAAAATGATTCACTATGTACGTGCTTATCTTAGGCCATGTACTGAACCATTCTATTTACCTATGATATTCAGTCAAACCGGAGAAGGACCAAGTAATACTATGACCATTCCAAGGAAGAGTCAAGGAAGAGGCTAGGTCTCAAGAAAAAACGCACTCCAAGAAAGGAGAGGAACATGGATGTTTGAATAATCTTACACCAATGTCATGAGCTTTTGTTTGTTTAGATTCCTAGCCATCTTTTGTGTATATGAACTTATAGTCTTAAATTGGCTGGATGATTCTACTCTCTCTATGCGATCTTATGTGAACTATGTGAATATGTACTCTTATCAAATTGGCTAGATGGTTGAACTGTCGACGTGCACGCAATATTTACTAAATTGTATGGCTGTTTTTATTGTCTTTGCTGAAATTTTATTATAATTTATCATATTTATTTTGATGAAAATATTAGACATGTGCAAAAATTTTATTCTGGGTGCACGGGAACTATTGGGAAGGAGAATGGAATGGCTGAGAACGATCTCGCGAAAAAAAATGCGCGAACTAATGCAACCAAGGGCTGGATGTGTATAGGCCACTTGAATAGAGAGAGAGAGAGGTACTGTCATCTTTTCCGGCATACTAAATAGTGATTAATAAAACAGAGAAATCCTTTGAAATTCTAAATTTCAAAAGAATTTGTAGGTGCAAGATTATATTTTAAAGGTAATGCGAATTCGATGTCAAATCTTGAGAACGCGCGTAGGATTAAATATCAAAATTTCTCCCGATGGACACATCTGAATGAAACTTTGAACTGAAGCACGCCTCCTCCACTTCCTCTCTCGGCTCTCACAACCCTCGACCTCTTCCGCTCCCCTCCCCCCTACTCCAACCATTGGAATCGCAGATCCACCCGGTTCTGGCCGATTGCTTCACCTATTGGTGAGGAAGCCTGGCTTGGTTGCTTGGATTGATTTTTCTGCCCCGATCCGCAGCGGCGAGCGGAGATGAACTGCGAGACCTGTCAGCTTAAGGAGCTGGTTCGATACCGATCCTAAGCCCTGCCTCGGTTTCACCACGGTTCTTTGCTTGCTTTCTCGTCGCTTATCTTGACGAATTCGTTTTCTTTTTTTTTTCCTGGTTGTTTGGGCCGCAGGAGCTGGAACCGACGGAGATCAGGGATGCGCTGCGATGTGAGTGCTCTGATCTTAGTTTTTCGCATCCCTTGTCATCTCTCTATCTTCGTTGAAAGGGGTCTTTTATTACCTCAACAAATTGCTCTCTATTTACACGACACGGAAACCCTAATGTACTGTATTCATTCACATGCTTCTTTGTTGTTATGGTTCCAATATTTTGGAATAGAGTAATTTCATGTTGCATTGAAATCATGATGATGGTTAACTAGTGGATGTCACCTACGTTTCCCCCATGGGGAAACTTAAATGCTGTATGTATGTATGGCACTGGAAGCTTAACAAAAAATTGGGCTAATAGTGGAGTTACTCTCTGCAGCAGATCATATTATCATACGACACGACACTATGCTGTGTATTTTTCACTACTTTGTTGTGCTTATCTTGGTTCCAGAGTCCTTGCTGCTGTGAGTTCTTAACCTTTTTCTATGTGCTTGAGTTCCTTCCATTCTACAGATAGTTAAACTTTATACTTGCCCTGATTATTAGTAAGTGCACTCATCACTTAGATGACTTCATGCGATTTCTCTGGGGATCCTTATCTCTCTTAACTTCAGGTCCTTCTATTAGTAATAAGAAATTGGAGTATTTCTCTGTGTTCTTTTATACTACATAGCACCTGCTAATGGATATGGTAAATATGAACTATGCTGCAGGCATTTTGCACACCATATTCTTCCATACAACCCTCAGCCTGGTTCGCCCCAAAGATGTTGACTGTGATTTCCTTGAGATCACTTATGTGAGTATTTCCCTGCATTAAGATCTGGGTTTGTTTCCATGGTCAAGGCATACGGTGTTGTGCTTTAAGTAATTATATTTATATATTTACTACTTTCATTTGAAAATTATTGATGCTTTTGCTTTTCACAGGCTCCCAACTGCAATTTTCACCACTACTTATATTCACAATACATGGTTCTAAAGCCAGATTTTGTTTCAAGAGAAAATGTAACCTATATTCCTCAGTGACAACTTTTCCAAAGACCCAATAATTGAGTGTTCTAAAGTTAGTAACTTACAAGAAGATGCGACCCAGGATTATTTAAGAACATGTCTGGAACCCAAATCTGTGACTAGAGTGTTTACTGGCATTTCACATATTATACGACTGACTAGCGGTTAGCCATTAGCCATGGTTCAGTATTACTGTTACTAATATTGAGATTAGACCTGGAAGTGGATTAGCATCTGCATCCAATCAACCCAGTTCAAAAGGAATCCAACTAGTGAGGCATGCATCCAATCCAAACCGTTGTCATGCACAGAAAATCCAGTTCAGTACCTCGTCAATCCAAATCCAATCCAATCGTCCAAATACTTCCGTCCCCGAGGTACTTACCGTTCCAGCAGCCTGTTCCAGCTTGCCGGCGTCACCGACCTTGTTCAACATCTCCGGGGACGGAGGCAGAGAAGCAGTGGGACGCCATCATGGACGTGCTCGCCATGGTGCTCGCACAGCCTAACCAGGTGGTGTTCCAGTCCCAGACGATCCTCGCTGCACAAGCAGAGGCCAACAGCACCCGGGGCCACAAGCCAACGATGATTTAAGCCGGAGCGCGTCGACGCTGTACGCGGCAAAGGCGGCCAAGGTATGCAGACGTGATCTGGCAAGCTGGAGAAGCATATCACCACGCACTTATTAGGCGGCAGGCATCGCTGCAGTAGCAGGAACAGCTGGAGGAAGACGACGCCACGAGCAACTGCTGGAAGCTGGAGATGCCACGGTGGAGGTGCTGCCGCCCACCTGGCAGAGGCACCGGGAGGAGAGGGGAGAGGTCCATGATATCCAGCTCTTTCTATCCAAACCAATCCAATGCGTTTGGATCTCATGGAAAGAATGTCCAGGTCCAAACAACATCCATCCAATTAAATCCAAAGTGGGTTGAATCCATTTAGATTTTGGATGATCCAAATCCATTGTCAGGTCTAATTGAGATCTCCTTTCGGTAGACCGGAATCAAAAGGAGTTAACTGATTTTAATGTGTAGTTGTGAAGTTTAGAATCAACAGAGACAAGTGATCAACAGATTAATATGTGCTGTGGGCAGCAACTCATGTTTTGTGTGTTAGAAATCCAAAGATTACTCAAGCAGGCGGCGCTGCTCTCTCTCCCGCGCCCTTTGGTACACGCTGGTCCATCCTCCATCGCTGCGGGCACGGAACCCTTGCGTTAGCGAGCACAAGGGAAAGGAAGAGAAGAGGCAGTAGATAGAAGAGTTCTCTAGAAGGAATGATGCATAACCATGATTTACATCTTGGGAGGGAGAGAAGCGCACGGGAGGGGGCGTTGCGTGTACGCAGGTGGGTAAAAAATTATTCGGTGAAAAAAGACGGTCTGGGGAGGGCTGCAGGAACGCATAAGACTCAATGGTGACTGTAAGCGCGTTGATGGCCCAGGCCCACTGACAGATTTAGAGATACAATTGACCCGAGGGTTCTAATATAGAGTGGGTAAAAAACTTTTGGGTAAGATGTATTTTCAATTTTTTTCGCTCTTTTATATTATAGATAGATAGATACACTGTATAGCATTTCAACAAGCGTTTCAGCAAGTTGCTTTCTCTGTATCAGTTTCCAACTTAACCACGATGACAGATGTATTGTCCAAATATGATTACCTTGCTTGTTGCAGTCTAATAACTTTCTTTCATTTGCATTTTCTTTGCCACTGCTTACTTCGATGTTTTCATGTGTTTAGGTACAATGTGGTCTACTGGAATTCGAAAAGGAAGTTGATGAAAAGATAGACCAGTTCACTGCTTGGGTGGAGAAACACCCAAATCGCAGAAGCCAGGTCTGAACTACAACAATTAGCCATTTTGATATTATAATGCAGTTTACTTCTGTTGCTGCCAAACTATGTTATCTTTCTTCTGATTAAGATTAGTGGCTGAACTGAATATCTCAGATATGCCTCTCCTTCAACGAGAAACAGACACCCAGGTTGGTTTGTCAACAAAACAGAGCGCATTTATTGGGAGCAATGGTTCATCAATTTGCATGTCATGAGCCCAAAAAGATACAGCAAGTCAGACAGCTCCAAAGGGCTGACAAACATCAGATGTAATTTAGAGCCTGTTTGACATGACTCCAACTCTAGGTAGAGCTACTCCACTCCAGAACTCCTGGTGGAGTCAGCTCTGGGTGGAGTTGGAGTTGTCTGATAGAGGTGTTTGGTTGGGAGGGTGTTCCCAGCTCCAGAAAAGAGGAGTTTAAGGGTAGATTGCCATTGTTACCCTGGTTCGATTTGAACTACTTCTCACAAATATGAAATGAAAGTAAATGCAGTGAAGTACTGCTGTTGTACTATGCCAAGAAAATTTTAGAAGGCACACTTTCGTTTGACTGTCATCGATCTGTGGCAACTACCGTGAAAAATGAAGAGGGTAGCTGCTGCACTAGCTGATTGGTGAAAAGATCTGTGGCAACTACCGTGAAAGTACATGAACTAGCTGATTGGTGAAGTTGGCGGCCGGTTCAGAGTGGCAGAGCAGCATTGCATTGCATTTGCATTCGGAATTTCAGATTTCGATTCAAAATTGAACAGAACAAGGCAGTTCAGCAAATGGTTGCAATGATTGATCTGAGTACACATAGATCCAAAATAAGTTCATAGTTCCAAAATAAGGTCGTTACAATAATCATTGCACTAATTCCATGCTAGGGCTATGGATGTAGCCATATTATCACGAAATGTGTCCATAGTCACAAAGCTTGATTCCGAAGTTGATCCATCGGAGGCATGTTGAGACACGGCATACTTGTTGTACCTTTCCGGAATAGTAGGCATGAAGGTAGGATCTCTATCAAAATTAGCAAAGTCCACATCAACACTAGCATGTTCACGTATGAAATTGTGTAGGACCATGGTAGCAGCAACAATCTTCTTTTGTGTGATCATTGAATAACCGGGCATTTTGTAAAGGATTTGCCATTTCATTTTTAATACTCCAAATGAGCGCTCAATAACATTACGAACAGATGAGTGTATACGGTTGAACTTCTGTTTTGGAGTATTTGGTTCCATACCTCGATGCCACTCGGGTAAGTGGTATCTTTCACCCTTGTATGGAGCTAGGTACCCCGGACGATTAGAATAGCCCGCATCTACAACATAGTACTTGCCTACACATATGTAAAATAAGATAAGTTTGTGCATACAAATATGAAAAAGAACGTAAGCCAAATATTTACCTTGAGGTGGATGTGGGAAGACATCTACATCTGCTTCCAATGCATGGTACAATACACTAGTGTCATGCAAAGAACCCAGTTGACCCGCAGCCACATACGTCAAACGCATATCAAAATCACAAACGGCAAGCACATTTTGAGTTGCAATTCCAGTCTTACCAATATATCTCACTTGTTCTTCAGGTGATAAAAACACACGAACATGGGTTCCATCAAGTGCACCAATGCAATCCTTAAAATGTGGATATGCTCTCTTGTCATTCCTAATCCTCTTGTGCACATTGCGGAAATTAGGATCTGTTGGTCTCAAGAAATCTTGTGCCATGGCAACCACACAATCTAGAACTTCATGAAATTTTCTACTAATGGTTTCACCTGAGTGTTTGAACTTATTTTGTCCTCTTCTATTTGACTCACACCCACCACATGTGAATAGGAAAATGGCCAACATCTCATATGTATTAATGTGTTTCGATGGTTTTAATCCGTACCTCTCAACCAACATATCATGAAGATCATGAAAAATAACCTCATTCATCCGAAGCATTCGATGACACTCCCCTGGAGTGTTAACCGTCTCCATCAGCCATCCCATTCCACTTTGTTGTGAAAACATAAACCTCGGCGGTGCCTTGTCCATATACAATTCATGATAACTTTGTGCTAGTTTTACACTGCTCTCAATCATTTTAAAAAAAATTCCCCATCACTAAAATCATCAGACTCACTTGAAGACATCTGTGAACATTGACATAAATGAAATGTAAGATACAACTGCCATACAACTGCAAGAAAATGAACTTCAAGACATCTGTGAACATTGACATAAATGAAAATGAACTACAGAAAGCTTTTTACTTGTCATACAGAACTGCCATACAGAACTACACAAATATGAACTGCAAGAACTTGAAGACATCTGTGAACATTGACATAAATGAAAATGAACTACAGAAAGCTTTTTACTTGTCATACAGAACTGCCATACAGAACTACACAAATATGAACTGCAAGAACTTGAAGACATCTATGAACATTGACATAAATGAAAATGAACTACAGAAAGCTTTTTACTTGTCATACAGAACTGCCATACAGAACTACAACTGCCATACAGAAAAATGAACTACAACTTTCATCGATGGGGAATTTTCTGTATGAACTACACAAATGAACTACAACTGCCATCGATGGGGAATTTTTTCATGAGGATCTGAAAAGTATGTGAATCGCCATACTGAGGAAAAATAGAATGTAGCATACAACCGCCATATTCATCGCCATACTGTAATCGCCATACGAAAAATCTCACTACTATTTCTACTTGTCATATTTATCATTGTACTTCCTCCTAAGTCAAGTGAACCTAATCTCATTAGTAGGCAATGTCATGAACATCTCCCTTTGCTCCTTCTTCACAAACAGTTCAGTTGCAATGTAATGTTCATTGCTATCATAGCCGGCCCCACAAGCAATCACAACCTCCATCACTTCATCAATAGAGTATTTTCCATGTCTCTTCGAAACATATTCATTATTTGAACTTGCCACATTGTTCATCGCTTCTTGAATTAGGAGTGCATTTTCAGACTTCGCCTTCTTGCCACTTTTTTCAACAGGCCTAGCCAATCTCTTTCCACTTGCAGGTGGAGGAGAAATACCAATATCCTCCTCTTGTGTTTCAGGACTGACATCATCATCTTGTGGATCAAAATTGGTTGCCTCCTCTTGTGTCTCATCAACATTTTCAACATTCACAACATGAGGAGACCAATGATCAATACCAATAGTAGTGATGTCAGCAAAACACTTGGCTAAGTCATCTTCATTCTCAAGGCCCTTCTTTTTAAACTTTCCACAACCCGGAATGTCCTAAAATAAGCAGAACAACACATATTATTATAAAGTATTACCAACAGATTTGTCATATGGAAAACAAATATAGCAAAAATCTTGAACCAACTTACAGCTCTAGTTTTTTTCCACCATTCATCATCCATAGCAATAGTCTTCTTTATAGGATCCCAACCAGTCTCTGTTTGCCTCAGCATTAGTTTCTTCCATGCCTTGAAATCTTCCTTCAACTTGTCCCATTTGTTCTTGATCTGAACCTTGGTAGCCACAATTCCAGTCCTTTCTTTGAACCCTTTCTCAACCTCAGCATAACCAAGTGCATTCAAGTGTGTGTTTGGCCGATTTCCTTTTTCAACTTATTCGGCAAACAACATACACAGTACTCGAGTGTTCTCCGAGTTCCAATCAATTTCAGGCATCTATCGAACTCACAAATTTTATATTAGACTCTAATCTATCCAACAGGTGATGCCATGATGGGCAATAGAACTTTCACTTCAAACAATTTCATGACAGACAACCAACTTATGGTATATAAATGATGAAAAATCAGTTTGTATGTAAACAAGAGAGTACTCCATTAGGTACAGATATCATTATAATGCAGTTAGGTAAATGCGTGATGGAAGGATGGAATTTCATCATTGCCAGAATGACACTTCCCAGTTCCCCTACTAGGTGAGGTCAACCGTGAACCACAGCATGTGTTTCAACTTTCAATTCCCCCAACAACCTAAAGGACTATTTTAACCGTAGCCAAATCTGCAGAACAAATCTATCTTCCCGAGCAGAACCGGTCCTAGACTCCGATTTCCATGGCTAGGCGTATCCATTCAAGTTTCAGAAACAATTCCTAGGAGATTCGGAGACCTGGCTAGGCGTATCCATTCAAGTTTCAGAAACGAAGACTCTGATTTCCATGGCTACCACTACCAGCAAACAAAAAAGGCCGCCCCCTCACCCCGAGCAGAATCGGTCCCGGACGGGAGGGGGAGGGGGCGCGGCCGCGGTGAGAAGACGGAGGAGTTACCTTGGATCTGGATCGAGGTGGGCTCAGCGGGGGAGGTCCGGTAGCCACAGGCGAGGTGAGGGGGCGGTGGCAGCGGACGGGGTCGCCTAGTCGCGAGGAAGCCACGCGTACACTTGCTGGGGATGGCGGGGGGCTTCACGTCGCCCTCTTCTCCTTCTTCTTTCGGCAGAGATGGAGGCGTCCTTCTTCCCCTTCTCCTCTAGGGTTAGGGTTGGGGATGGAGGACACCTTCTTCTCTTCTCCACTAGGGAAAAGGTGGGGGATGGAGTAGAGGGGGAAGAGAGGCAGGGGAGGGGAGGGGAGGGGCGCCGGCCGGCGATGGCGTCGCTGGGCCGTGGCCGGCGGAGGGCGCAGTCGCCCAGCGCGCGTCGCCCGGTCACGCGGATTCGCGGAGAGAGAGAGGGAGGGAGGGGGAGTTGGCCGCACGCGGGTGTGGGAGGCAGAGCAAATAGAAAGAAAAACGGTTCGAGTTGTGTAATCAGTGGCAATTGCGGGTAATTTCACCCCAACTCCACGTCGAGATCTATTTTGGCCAGTTCTAGAGTAGGAGAAGAGGTGCTCCGAAACTCCACCTCCATTTGCACTACAACTTCATGGAGTTGGCAGCTCCATGGAGTTTTAGAGCTAGGGTGTTTGGCTGGAAAATTAGTTGGAGTTGCTAGAGTTCAGCTCCAGAGCCATGCCAAATAGGGCCTTAGTTAACTAAAGTTTCATGGCCTTCGTGAGGCTGTCATAAACATATTGAATGTAGTAGTAACATTTTGTACAATATGCTCCTAGCGAATGCCCTGGAGGAGACCAGCACAAGGCGTGCTGCATTGGAGTCGTTGATTAATGAAGTGAGTGCTATTCCAGATCATAAACTTCGCCAATGAGAAAAAGGACCACATTCCTGCCATCCCTGACAGAATTTTCAATCATGAGATCATGATCCCAAGGTGAGTCCTATATTTGATATTGGTCGTTCTGTGATAAGGCCCATCCTTAGTTAGCCCAAACAATTTTTTGTTAAGATTCTCTACATATATCTCGATCTCCAGGTGACCCCTTTTCCTTGGACGTGTTGACAGCTCGGATTCTGTATTTGGATGGAACACGGATGTCATTCCCAGAGTGCTGAATAGCGGGCACCCGTACTCACTTTAGCTGAAGACGCCAGCACGCTATTCCTTGTACATAAGGGTGTACCCTGCTCATCTGGCTTAGGGAAAACCTAGTTCTGTGTACATAATGGTGTACCCTGCTCATCAGGCTTGTAAATACTGTGTTGGGATCTTGCTCATCAGTCGAATGTTCTTAAGTTTGATTAAGTTCATAAAAACAATATCAATATTTATGCCTCCAAATATGTTTATTATATAAAAATATATTTCATGATTAAATTTAATGATAGTAATTTATTATAAAATTATATACACTATTGGGAGCTTAGGGCTTCCAATAGTTCACCAGCTGGTTTGGTAATTGAAAACTCACTCATATTACCTTAGTCATCATGGGGCTTATAGCTTCCACCTTGTTATGAGAAGTTGGGAGGCAGAACAGCTAGTCAGAGTGCTCATTCTCCCACCTTAGTTTGATCAAACCTTCCGGAGGTTTTGAGTAAGTTTTGAAAGAATCATGCTTAAGTTCTTTAGATGGCAAGTCTCTTAGTGGTGTATGAAACTCACCAAGGCCATGATGCTTAGCCTTCACATCATATTCTAAGGCACCTGTGGAGCTCATGGGTAGAGAATGAATGCAAGGCATACTTGTATTGTGCATATATCGCTAAGTCAAACACTTGGATCGATGGTACTTAATTGGTATCATAAATATTAATGTTTTTTTTATAGATTTTAGTAACTTAATATTGTTTGACTGTTTAAAAATAGTGAGAAATATATTCTTTTGGGAACAGAGTGAATACACCTGATTACCAAAGGTCCACAGCTAGATATGAGGGTACCTTGTTAGAGATGGACTTACAACAAATCCTTAAAGGCTGGGGGAAAGGAATAAATCTAATTTAATGGAATTTCTCCAATACAATCCTACGCTCCAAGAATCTCTATAGTAAAATTACCAATATGAATGGACTCCCCAATTCTCAGATTCAACGAGTAAATTAACGTCAACAGATTTTCTTGTTCAGGTCAGGGCGTCAGGCTAAGCCATGTACAGATATCCCCTTTTGTATGTTAGGAGGCATAAAAAATAAAGCCATTACTTTTAGTCCAGGTAAAAATCTCAAAGCAAGAACTTGGAGAGCTGAGAACGCCACCATATATGGTGTGGGGCAAAAGAACCAACACCCACAGGCCAGAATGAAGAGATGCATCGCGGAATGCAGAAACTGAGATCCAGGCCGTGTGCATAGGAGTATACGACCATCATTTTCACAAGCAGCCACGTGCGTTGCAAGTAAATAGGCTATCAGCACAACAACTCTAGTAGTCTTTCACACTTTGGACAAACCGCAATGGACCTCACGAAAAGCAGAAAATTTCCACAGCAGAGGAGAAGAAAAGACTTTACAAAAGAATAGCTCGCAGTGCATTCTGTCACCTAAAACACAGCAAATGCACCTTTGTAAAATAATCTAGTGGAAGATCCACTGTGTTGAACTCCATCGTTGCTGACAACGGGTTAAACCAAGCAGGTAGGCGTTCTTCAAGTTGCATGTAACATGAAACCAGCATGCATCGATTTTTGTCCCAACCAATATCCCAAATCTCCTTCGATCTGGATGTGACTGAGTTACTTACATGATTATACAGTTGCACTTGGACTCCAGCTTTGGAGGTTTCATATTATCAGAATTCCTTGCAATACCCGATGCAGAACATACAGGGGGGGAGTCTTTCGCAACAGCATCTTTCTCTGTAGTTTCCGTTGTAGTTGTTTCACCTTCCAATCTTTTCCTTTTGACCTTACGATTTGGAGTTCGTCTGTGAGGCAGCTTTGGTAAACTCTCTTCCTTAGGAAAAGATCCTCCGACTATTGTAACAGTTGGGCGAATAGAGTCGACAAACTCTGATTCCTTCTTGTTTTCCAATGCAATAGTCGCAGCCTTGTATGCAAGGTCATGGACAATAGAACTACAGAAGAGAATTGTATCAGCAGCCTCTTCCAATGTGAAGCATCTCTGGATTTGTTTCCTTGATCCTTCTACTTCCGCACAAAATTCTTCTACAATTCAGAGAAAAATATTGTGTCAAATACTTATATATTCTTTTTTTAAGAGGAGCAGGAAGGGTGGAACCCCTACTGCAAATAAGTATCAAATACTTATATATTCACCTATATTCATCAAAGGATACAAATAATTTCATTGATTATGAGAAGAAAATAGAAGGCATGCATATCTTTGAAGATACATCAGGGCTAGCAATTTAAGATGATAAATCAACCAAAAAATCCCTGCAAATTTTTTCTACTATGCTGCAGTGTGCACAAGAACAGTATTCTCTCCGTTCCAAATTATAAGACGTTTCGGTTTTTCTAGAGACATTGTTTTAACTATGTATCTAGATATAGTGTGTATCTAAGTGAATAGCAAATCTATGTATGTAGAAAAGCCAAAACGTCTTATAATTTGAAATGGAGGGAGTAGAATGGTTTATTAAACAATCATCAAGATGTTCTTTGAAACCAAACACTTGGAAATTACCCACCCCTCTTGTAAATTTCACACATCAAAGGTATTTTTATGCATGGCCCCTTCAAATAATTAACACACCTAATTGGACTGACTGCTTAATCATAAAATTATAGGCATGTTTGGTTGCATATCCCGGGTGGCCTGACCAAATATTGGAAGTGGACAAAGTTGGACAGTGCAAAATTTTGGCAAAAAATGATATGTTTGTTTCATGGCCAAGCCAAAGTAGCCTAATTTTCCTGTCAAACCAAGAACATCACATGTGGGGCCTATGTCATAAGTATTTTTTAATCAACTATAGGGAAAATAGGTCTTATTTTATCAGATTAATTATACGGAATACAATACAAAATACTTCAAAAAGATTTGCAATGAGATACTTGGTTTAGCAAATATTGTGATCTGAACATTGATAATGCAGCAATCAATGCAATTTTTTGAACCAGCAGCCAGCTGACACTTCAGCTTGTGCTTAACAGTGTTGCCAAGCCAAAATGTGGCACAAAAATCAGCCGCCCTGGAATCTTCTGCGCCTTGCTGCTTACTCTACACGGCGTGGCCATAATTTCCTTGGCTCAGACAAACTGGACCCTAAACTGTTTTTTTAGGGATGCTTGGATGTGTTATAACTCTCTTCTTTTAATGCAATGATACGCAACTCTCCTATGTGTTCGAGAAAAAAAATGCAAGCCAGATAACCTAGGCAGCGACAAAATTTAGCTCGGCACTAAAGGACATGAACCAAACAGACCCATGTCCACCCTGGATTTTCTTTTATTTGGTCCAAAGAATAAATCATGTCCACAAAAGATCTGTTATATACATACAACAGCTAATTCCAGACCAGAAAAACTATATACCAGACAAGACAAATAGAGGACCAATGCATGACTCAAGCAAGTAATATATATACATGAGCTTTGAGATAGGCACAACTCATAACTCTTGTAGGTGAAAAAAGAATACAGAAACTGTACCATCATTGGGAAGTTTCCTCATGTCAGCTTCTTGTCCAGAAATCAACACGTCCTCCTCGGAGATGGCAGACATGTAACAATCATCCAATCTGTTTTCCTCAGCTGAACCCTGAACTATTTCGGACTGCATTTGAATATCATCAAAGTTGTTCTCATCACTTGAATGTTCGGGAGCACTACCTTTATTGCACTGACTGATGGCACAAGTATCCTCTTCAGTTTCAGGCATGCAACTTTCCTCTGGGCCTGATGACTCTCGGGTATCACTTGGCATTTCAGTATCTAAAGAATACATATTTGTACTGGTATGATCCATGTCAGGCATTCTGCCAGCACTATGATTCTCAACTGTTGTATCTCCTACCTCACTTTTCAAGTCAACGGGACTGTCATCATCGGCAATAACCTGTGAAGAAGATGAATATTCCATAGCACTTGGCAAAGCATCCTTACAAAAAGCATCATTTTCTTCAGAAGAGATCAATGTTCTTGAAGTGCTGCTTTCCAAAGTGTCAATTGGGAAACAGGAACCTCCTACTGCATCACTCTGAGGGCAAAGTGAAGCTGAAGAGCTACAAATTGACATATCTGACACAGAAGCAATGCTTTGACGACTCATAGTACTGCTTATCTGAGACTTCTCAAAGTCACCCCTCTTATCACTCCTAAGGCGCTCAAAACATATGGTTGATTGCCTCGAAGACCCAAGATCACTGGAAGAAGCAGCTGAAGAGCTGTCCAGTCCAAAGCTACGCTTCATCATACTGACACCATCTCTTGCATAATAGGGTTCTGAACAGAGAATACTTGTAGCAGCCAGGGCCCTCCCTTCTACAACAGGCCATTTATTGCTGTTTGACTTAGGGACTAACAGTACTGATATCCCAGTACCCTCAGTAGTTTCAAGTTTAGGGTTTTGATATGTAGTTGATCCCAATTGAGAAGAATTGTCACTGGTCATAGTTTCAGAGACAGTTTCATTACATTGGGACAATCCATGATTATGGTTATCCATTTGGTCTCTGATGAAAAGGTCATGCCCCACAGATGTTGGTTTTGTTTCTTCACATTCAGTCACACTAGATCGATGAAAGGAAATATCGTTTGTATTTCCTAATGAGTCCCCAACATGTTTCTTTCTATGCTCTGCGTCTATCTTTTCCACCTGCCCCAGTAGCATTTCCTGAGGTGTGTGCCCCATTGAGTGAATTGGAGGGGCCTGATCCAGGCAATCAGTGTAAGATTCACTGTTCACTAGTTGATGATCAAGAGACACTTCTTTGCTATAGCCTATACAATCTGTGGGTATGGGAGGATCAGATGCGATGCAAGGTTTCAATTTTGCAGTTTTATCATATTGCTGGTTTTCTTCTCCAATAGTTTGTACAGTAGAACTGGTGAAGATATTCCCAACCTTTGAAGCACATACATCACAGTAGACACCCTCTTCATCCACATCCATCGCATCAAATAACTTCCCACATCTAGAGCAAGTAGCAATTTTACTATTGCCAACCTGAGAACTATCAGTAGAATGGCATAAGGACTGATTAGGTCTTCTGCTTCCTTCCAAGTCTTGTCTTCCACTTACTAGATGTTTTACTATGACCAGTGAATTATCCGTAGATTCCGTGCTCTTGTAATGAATGTCTTCTTCATTTAGCTCATTCAATTTATCAAACATAAATATATCCTCATGACCCCGAGAACTATCATCTTCTTCCCATTCGCCAACCAAATCACGTTGCTCTTGGCTGCCAGGCGTATAAGAGCCAAAAGTGGCACCATGGTAAGAGCTTGCATTGCTGCTAGTTGTCAAAGAGGAATTGTGTGAGAACATAGGTTTGTGCACATCAATTCCATTCCCAGCCCCAAATGTGCTGGCAGGGGCACCTGATAGAAGTGGTCGGAACCTATCTTGCGGAGCTTTGCGGTGATCCTGGGAAGAAAGACCATCACATCTTAGTTTCATGTTTCAGCTTTAGAAAATCTACAATAAACAGAAGTATGGTCTTCATTTGCTGAAAAAGTACGCCCACAACATTGTTCAAATAAAACTATACAACAATGTGCTATATAAAAATAGTTCTCAGTAGCGGTAAGAAATGAATCATTTGCATAAGGTGCCAACTAGTATCTTGAGTAGAAAAAATGCACCAATTGACCAAGATCAACACGAGAAAATTAATGTATGCTAAGTGTCAATCTACCAAATCAACTGCTAATTACACAATACAAGAGATGCTTGCAAGACATGGGAAAATATTCTATTATTATAACATAAAAAGCAGAGAAATGCTTACCATCAACCAAAGTGCAGAGTCAAATGACCGCTTCGGGACAGAACTAGGTGTGAAATTTTTGGACAGATTCTTTGATGATGCAATGGTTCTGGTTTTCATCACAACCAAGCTCTTTTTCACAACTGGGCTACTGGAGTAGCTAATTGGTACAGACTGCATAGAATCCAGATCATCCTCACCAGATGATGTTGCAGAAGCTTTGCTGTAAGAGCTCATTCGGTCCCGTTCAATGCTGTGAGACGAATTGGCTCTTCTAGATGGAGTGGGAGACATTGACTGTCTTCTACCTCTTGAACCATTTTCTAGTCCACTAAAAGATGAAGGTGATCCACACCTTGACCGGCATACTGGACGATCAGTTAGAGATGTGCGAAGGTTTGAAGGCGCATCGAAAGGGAAACCAGGAACATTTGATTGCCATCCATGCAGCTTTGGTGAAGAAGATCTGCGATTAGGTTTCACTGGTGAAGCTCCTCTTGTTCTATTCAAAGTTGGACCACTTGAACCAGTACTCATCCTTCTTGAGACAGGACTTGGAGACCTTCGAGGAGGTGTTAATGTCTTAGCAATCGGAGGGGTTGACGATCTTTGTGATGGCGTTTGTGATTGAACAGCAAGTGGTGGGCTAGAGCGAGAAGCTGAACTAGATGATCTTGTCCTTCCCATAGAGCGTGGCGATGGGCTAAGCCTACTTGGGCTTGCACTGCTTCTACTAGCTCTTTGACTATTATCCATCTGTATATGAATAGAACACAATATATTTGATACGTAATGGATGCAACCTAATATAGTTCTTGGAATAAACCCCTCTGGACATGAGCACTCACCGTGGATGATCTTGAAATTTGTATAGGCTTGCTCTGAGCTCTGCCCCTAGAAACCTGAGTGATGGATTGGTTTTCTTCGTCATCCAAAGATCGAAAAAGTGGAGTTTCTGGAGGAGTTAATAACCTGATAATTGGAAAATTTAATGGAGGTCAAGTCATTACCCAGCACCAAGATATAAACACTTACATAGAAGTGCAAGCATAGGAAGTATTATTAAGTTCGGAACCACCAATTACATTTATTTTTTCTGTAAGATAAATCAAATAGCCATTTAGACATAGAGTTATGCTACTAATAATTCTTCTGAGCAATGATCCTCCAATAACAAGAGTGAATTAATGGTTAGCATCATACATTCATACCATCCGTACAACAAAAGTAGCCAGTAGGTCACCATATCATTTTTAACATTCTTCAAACATGAAAGGTGCATTTGGCATTTTTTTCAATGATATTCCATGTTTTAAGCGATGAAAACATTCTAGTTGTTATGAACTAAGAACGTCAGAACATCAAATGTAATGCTTACGAAAGGGTTATTGGCTAACTCATACTATCATAATATGGAATCACTTCATATCAAGATTGAACAGCATTAAAAATCCTAGTCTTAACTGGCAGTCATCAAGAGTGCTTAGTGATAAGAAACAGAAATACAAGATAACAATGTGAATATTTTTATAAATATTTGAAGATTCGACGCTGTTCCTTTCAATGTAACATAGGATTGAAACAGGACTACAGAATAACCACGTGTCCACGTGAGCTCTTTTTTAACGAAGCAACAACTGTAGAATAGCAGAGATAGAAGGGAAACACCACACCCAATGTGAGGGGGGTGACCTTGATATATATAGCCAATTACATGGCAGCATATATGCAATACATGGCAGGTGCTAATCATACTAAATATAGACTTGCCTAATATACACTTTCCTAATGTATATATCTATCAACAACCTTACAAGTTGTGGCCGAAATTCAGACAAAAATCTACACAGAATTACCAGATTTGTAAGAACTGACCATGCAACATGCTAAACAAGTTAAACAAAAACAGGCACCACTCATGAAGGAAACAAGAACTCAATCCATAATATTTAAATATCAACAAAGCAAACGTTACATTACAATGTACGATGCAAGGAAGGTGCTTCATAAGGTAAGCAAATCAAGGCTACAGCAACTATCTACCATTTCAAACAAGACATATAAAATGTACAATCAAGTTTGCATACCACTCATAATCATTTTTATCACCGTCCGCATTAAGCAAATCATGGCTTTCTCCATGGGCAGGAATGTTAACACCAAGTTTTACTTCCGGGAAATAGCTCAATTTTGCTGATGGATGGAAAGAAATAACTTAAAAATGGTAAGTAACCAAAAAAAATAACACTATGGGACTGTATAAAGAGAGACAAAGATGAAATTTACAAGCATTACCGATTGAGTCATCAAAATCCTCTGACGGTTCCAGTAAGAAGTTCTCCGTCTCAACTTTCTGCATATCAGAGAACAAAGCGAGTTCGTCATCCTTTGATTTCACAGGAAGCACATTTCCGAAACTGTTGGCCCTCTTGTGATAAGTCTCCCGTGCAGGAGACCTTGATCTCCTCAGTAAGGGTGACGGTGGCATTTTTCCTGGCCTCTTAAGCCTGGTACCCTTCTTTCAGAGACAGTAGAATGCAGTCAGAGTCCATCCGGAACATATACCATGGCCTACAATATATGGTAGTGTTAATAAAGAACTGAACAGGTCCAAATTGCACCAACTTATCATAACTTTTAAATGTGTACAAAAACAAAGGATAAGGTATGAAAATGGCAAATATATGAAAAGAAATACAGCATCACTCTCATCATGCATTACAAAAAAAAAAAAAAAAAAAACCAATCCAGCGTGCCACCATCAGAAATAGCCCACCCAATTGCACCCACAGAGCAATCATACCAATACATTCATAGAAAGTAATAAAAGAAAATACACCAACAAAAGAAGGCCACGGAAAGGCACAAAGTTGAAGCTACCATTATTTCTACCACTTGAAGTACGGAAACTGCCAAATCCATCACATCTGGATGAAAACACGTACCAACTAGCAGAATTTGCTAACGCAATGAGGTATTCCTGGCGTCTGAATTTGCTATTTTACAATCCACTGCACATCTTATTGCATCAAATGAAATATTGCATAAAAAAAGTCAAATAGTAAGTCTTCAAAAGAGTCAGCAACAATCAACCAATTGATTGGAAAGTTCCCAAAGTCACTTATGGACAACAAAAATATCTCTAGAAAACCTAAAAGTTCATATTCAATTGAACTATCAAGCACGCTCACCTCATCCCGTGTTAGAGCTAAATCACCAGGCATTCAGGAAATTTGGAGGGAATAACATTTCGGATAAATCAGCATGATAACAAATCGAAATTAGACCTAGCGACAAATCGGACAGCACAAATTGAGCCCAAACTCGACCTTGCAACATCTCTATTTGCCACCCCAAAGATAAATTTGCATCAGTCACATCACAAAAATACAGCTCCCCAATAGCAAAGCAACATAAAGGGAGCAGAATTGAAGCAACCCAAGAGTAAAAGAAAGAACACATGAGATCGGTGGTGATTGAGCAACCAATTTCTACATATCAAAACCTGCACCAAGAACCGGGCAATGATTGGGCCACATCGCCCATAGTTCTCTGGCCATCGGATGCTTACCAGTGTGAGATCGAGCTGTCCATCCAATGCTAAGGCTTCTGGAATGAGCTATAGCGCCTGCACGGCTACATCGGCCAGCCTATCCAGTCGTCCTCGTACCATTAGAACTCCTCATTTAAGATGGAAGCTGAGGTACTTCAAGATACTAAATTGTTTTACCATTAGCATAAACATGATAGACGAACTTATTCACCTGAGAGAGAACATGGTATCACATTATAACACTAGATATGGCACATTGGTGCTACTCACCACGCTTGAATTCTACGGCCGACAACCTGAGATCTAAGAGGAACTGCACACTGCAGCGCTTGGTGGCAGGCTGGCAGCTAGGGCTTAGGCCAGGCAGGTTATCATAGCATCAGGGAGCTTATGCAGTCAAGGTTCATGGTCTCACAGTGGCCTGACTCAGGAAGAAAATGCACCAAATACATTATTGGAAGCCTAAGAAAATACAGTGGCCCAGATGACCAATTTTAGTGGATTAGTCATCGCTGGCAGCAGCAAAGAGGGCAACCAGCACATAAGTGGGCTGGAAGCGCGACGCCTGTGTTTCTAGTTCAAAACCGAATCTAGACACCAGAGCAACACAACACGCGCTCAATTCTACTAGTTTCCCAAGGAACACCAGCAAGCAACGTGCTCCCAGAGCCATAAACTAGCAAATCCTGCGCCAAACAACTGTTTCGAAAACTGAGAGCAACGAATTGGACCCCGAAGCTAGCAGTACACGAATACCAACCCCCAAAATTAATCCAAAATGGCGCTAATTTGGCGAAGACCCAAATCCCATGCTCCACATTTCCCCTCCCAGGCCACCCACACAAAATTAACAACAAAATCATTCACCTCATTATAAAATGAAAAACAGGAAGGAGCTCGGGAAGCCGCATTCCACCTCATTAAAATGAAAAACAGACCACCCACCCGCATTCCACCGCCGCCTTCCGTCCGCCGGTAGTGCGCTACACCAGCCGCACCGGCCCCCGCGCCCCCGATCTCCCGCCGCGGGCGCGAGCCCCGAGGCAGATCCGGCTTCGGACCCGAGCGTGGTGGGGGGTCCCAGCCGTGCCGCGGGCGCGCTCCTCTCCTCCGCTTCCGCACTCGCGCTCGCCCTCGGCCTCGGCCTCCGGGGCTCGGATCGTCGCGCGCGCCTGGGGCGTTGCCACGGGTAGAAGCAAAGGAGCTCGGTTGCCTTGCTGCCTGCGCGCGTCGTGCGTGCGCTTCGCTGGAGGAGCAGAGAGGGGAGGCGGTGGACTGGGGAAGAAGTGGCTTTTGTTTTTTCTATTTTCGTTGGCGTTATTTCCTTTTTGGTTTATTTGGAGTTAAAGAAAGGGGAAAGATGATTAGTTGAGGATTAGGGGTGAGGTGGCATGGTATAGTGCGGGCAGGCGTTTAAATTACGGATTTGTCCCTGGAAGAGATTAAGAATTACAATGTGGGTGGGTTCCCTCACTCTCTGCTTGGTTGGACGGCCAGCAAATTTGGCATAGCCAGTATCAATTAATTCGTGTGAAGAAATGACTTGGCTTTCTTTTTGGCACTTTATTACTATTCTCTGCGTGTGCAGGCGGAGAAAAATCCGCCCGCACGCCTCTCGCTCCGCACGGCTCCTTCGTCGTCTCGTCGCACTTTATGTTCTTCCTCCTGCCGTCTCCTCACCTCGCCCGGCTCCTGCGCCACCCTCGACCCCCTCGACTCGGCTTTGGTGACGCTATCTGAGTGCTCCCGCCTCCACCACCTCCCACCACCCGTGGCAGCTCCTTCTTCCCCTCCAACATGCCGTCACGAGCTCCCATGACCTCCTTCTTCCGCAGCGAGCTCCGGCCATAGAGCTCCCCACCCCTTCTTGCCCCGGCCGCCTCCACTATCGCCAGGCCCCCTAAACCGACCTGTGGCCGTCCACACCACCTGGCTGACCTTCATCCCTCTAAACCCCTTCTTTTCTAAGTCCGCTAGAGTTGGGGAAGAAGGGGGTGGCACGGGCCATCGGAACCCTAACCACCGCCAGAGTTGGGGAAGAAGAGGGGGCGGGGGCGGGCGCGGGCGCGGGCAAGAGAGAAGAGAGCGCTTGCGCGAATCAGATGGCCGGGATGAGCACGAGCGCGAATCGACGATGGGTGTGGGTGTGGGCGCCGCAGCATGTGCGCACTAGGGAATAAGCATTCCAGTTCTTTTTGTATAAGATTGCTTTTCTAAAAGGAAAAATCCTACTTTTACGCAAGCTCGGTAGCTTAATGAGACAAACCAGCAGGTCTTTGTTTTATTTCTTTTTTTATTTTGCTATCAGCGACACTAAATTAATAAGTTAATACTCCATCTATCCAAAAAAGAATGCAACTATAATTGTGTTCGTCGGATTAGTTTAAATTTGACCAAATTTATAATAAAAATGTTAATATTTATGTCTCTAATAAGTTTATTATGCAAATATATTTCATGATTAATATAATGATACTTATTTTGTATCATGAATGTTAGTACGTTTTCATATAACTTTAATCAAAGTTTAAACTATTTAATTTCTCGAAAAGCAAGAACTATATTCTTTTTGTGGATGGAGATAGTATAAGGAGCCAAACCAAGCTTGCTTATTGAGTCAGCCTAGGTGAGTAGTCAAATGCACATAGGCCTTGTTTGGTTGATGCCATAGAAAATTTATCTGGCCTATATGATAACATCTAACCACAAGCAAGAAATTTTAGATACATGGGATTGTTGTCTGAACTAGGCAACTATTTTAGGGTCTAGCCACAACCAAAGTGGCAAGATATACTCCGGAATGTCACTACAAATTGGTTGTCTCTTTTTTGCACGAACGTGGCTTAGCACAAGTTTCATTAAAGAGAGAAAGAGAATTACACGATACAACTACGAAAGAGCCTCCATAGCATAGATTACAAACACCAAGCCATCGGTAAGCGACCTGGAACAAACCAAAGCAGCAAGAAAAAAAGAAGCAACGTGGAAAGCGACCCTTAGCCCTAAAACCCTACTAGATTGTGCTTGTGAGAATAATAGTCATCAACGCAAGAGTTGCCTATAGAGGAGACATAACCGCGGTGGCAAAGCATCTATCTAGAGAAGATGAGACGAACATTTAGCAATATTGGTGGCAAAGCATCCGCCAAAGAAGATCAAAGCAACCTCGGCGGCAAAGCATCCGCAAGTGGAGGGCCAACACACTCTTGGTAGCAAAGCATCTGCCAGAGAAAAGGCCAAAGCAACATCGACTGACAAACCATCCACTAAGAATCCAATGGCGACCAAACATTCACCGAGGAAGGGCGAAGAGGGGGCAAAGCATCCTCCACAAAACCAAATGACGGCGACAAAAAGCCAATCACCTCAAACAAAGACAGACCACTACGAAGAAGTATATAAAGAACACACGGGCACAATAAAAGGAGCGAGATCCGATGATAGGAGCAAAAGAACGTGTGGATACACGCGCGGCAGGAGTGCTTAATGTCGTCTTCAAGAAGGAGAGTGACATCCACGGACGCCAACATCATTAATCAAAGCAGCAGGAACGGAATCTTCAAACATCTCCAAGGAGGCAGTGACACAAGCTAGACCAACGTTGTCGCCCTGCAACAAAACGCCGGGTTTCACCCAAATTCCAAGCGTCCACAGTCACAAGCCTCCGACACAGGAAGACAGAGAGGGCGACGAGAGCATAGTGAGGCAGAGGGGCTGCGCGCGAGCAAATGCGACAAGGAGGGCACGTAGGCCGTGTCGGCTATGCCACACATATCTCCAGCATACCTCACTAAGACCAAGGGCTCAAGCCCACTTGACTGATGTCTTTGCCCAAGGATGTGAGCAGCTCTCTCGCCACAGCCACGAGAGGCTGCCCAAGGCATAGACTAGAGTGCCCATGGTGTAGCGATCGCCACGAGGTAGGCTGCGCCCAC